AAACAAAAGACAACATAACATTTACATATATATCCAAACATTAATGACATCACATTTGCTCAATTCCACATTCCCACCATATTCACACCCAATGCTGTTTCTATTGCTTGTGAGACTCTGCCCATATGACTTCAAATTGTGCTACGTTGTACCCAGACAAACAATTACTTTTCCATTGCAGTTAATCACTAGTCTCGTTAACACCCAACTCTTGAATTCCTCCTGATTTCAGAGTCTGGAATGGCTCTTTGATGTTGTCGGCACAATGCGTTGATAATGAAGAGGGCTGTGCTTTTACTGGTTGGCTTGGCTCACATCTGTGTCTTTCTTACTCAAACACCCACAGCCATTTACATTTACATTTTAGTCATTTAGCAGACGCTCTTATCCAGAGCGACTTACAGCCACACACAGCCCCTGAGCGCCGCCCCCTTCTATTACAATGGTTGGATTTTGAAATCCAAACAATGAGAGGTCTCAATCCCAAGGAAAACATTTTATTTGAATGAACCAGTCAAACCCCGTCACACAATTTATTAGCAACATTGCATTAACAAACAGCCTCCTTTTCAGACCAGTGTGGTCACAGCTCCTCTCCCTGCGCTGTGAGTCACATGGGTTGCGTCAGCAAGGCTAGTTATTCACAGCAAACAGAATCAAGTCTAATGTTTTTGTAAAAAAAACACAATTTGGCACTGCATCGCAGTGCTAGAGGCGTCACTACAGACCCAGGTTCGATCCCGGGCTGTATCCCAACCGGCCGTGATTGGGAATCCCATAGGGCGGTACACAATTGGCCAAGCATCATCCAGGTTAGGGGAGGATTTGGCCAGGGGGACTTTACTTGGCTCATCGCACTCTAGCGACTCCTTGTGGCGGGCCGGGCGCCTGCAGGCTGATCTCGTCGTCAGTTGAACAGTGTTTCCTCCGACACATTGGTGCGGCTGGCTTCCGGGTTAAGCGTGCGGGTGTTAAGAAGCGCGGTTAGGTGGGTCATGTTTCGGAGGACGCAAGTCCCCTGTAGCTCAGTTGGTAGAGCATGGCGCTTGCAACTCCAGGGTTGTGGGTTCGTTTCCCACGGGGGGCCAGTATGAAAATGTATGCACTCACTAACTGTAAGTCGCTCTGGATAAGAGCCCGTTGGGGAGTTGCAGCGATGAGACAAGATCGAAAAAGGGGGTAAAAATATCCAGCAGACACAAATAGTCTCTGACTATCTCAACTGACTTAGCCCCATCCTGTCTGGTCCACTGAGCCCTCTGGATTGCGGTCTCCTTCATGTACTGTGCAACCTGGTTTTCCGGCCAGATGTTGTTCAGCCACTTGGTCATCTGGGCTGCCCTCTCACATTTTACTCTGTTGTGAGCACAAAGTATTCAATTGAATTAAAAATTCCTTTTAACAATCCGTTTTCAAAATACACAACACATCTTTCAACATGTACCTGGCAAGACCCGGCTACTGCTCAAGCGTGGCGTGTCGCTTGGTGTTTCCAGTCCTATGTATTTACGAGTGTGTCCCGAGGACCTCCCCTTGTGTATAAAAAAGGTGGTGTTTACAAAATACTCTCTGCGTGTAAGGCTTTTATGTTCTTCTTTAACTTCAAGCTATAGTGGAGTCATCCAAAAGCAAGAGCGTTTCCTGGTCCAGCTCTTCCGCTGCAAAAAATAGGCTAAAAGGCTAAAAGGATACCTAATCAGTTGCACAACTGAATGCATTAAACCGAAATGTGTCTTCCACATTTAACCCCTCAGAATCAAAGAGGTGCGGGGGGCTGCCTCAATCGACATCCATGTCTTCGGCGTCCGGGGAGCAGTTGTTGTTGGGGGTTAACTGCCTTACTCAAGGGCAGAACGGCCAATTTTTTCACCTTGCTGGCTCAGAGATTCGCACCAGCGACCTATTGGTTGCTAGACAAATGCTCTTAACCGCTAGGCTTAACCGCTAGGGTTGATAAGCCAGGTCAAATGGTTGAACAAAGGCCAGGGAGTGAGAAAGAGCTAAATGAATAGGGGCAGCAGTAGCTTCGAGGTTAGAAAGGCAGGCCGATATTTGAACCCCAGAGCTGCCTGCGGGGAAATCTGCAGGGAGTGATCTGTAAGGCAGAGGGTTACCAGCTACACAGATTTTCATAGACCCTGTGTAAAACCGCATCTACGTCTTCCACGTTGTCATCATAACCAATAGTACAACCTTAATAGAAACTTGAAAGACTTAACTTCACCAGAGCCTCTTAGAACCATGCAGCCACTTTGGGACTAGATACATTACACGCAGAGCTACCATAGATAGTATGGCCTTCATCTGTCCATACTCACTTTATTGGTCATTTGCACAGATACTCTGTTACAGTGACCAACCTGACACACAACACACACATCACAGGCTGGTAGCAGCTCAGGAATACTTAGGGGTAAAGTGCCTTGGTCAAGGGCACAACCGCAGTAGGTAGTATACAGATATTGACTCAAACATTGGAATCAACGAGGCCAGGTTCCACTCATTCAGCATATCTTTACAAAGCTGTCCATTCATTGGCCTTGACCTCTGCATTTCAGTACAGAAATAAAGAAGTGCTAGAAAACTAAATTGGCTACATCAAATTTAAGGTAAACTCTAACGTTAGCTAGCTAACAGAATGTGCATCCATCCTCCTCAACTTTACAAGTCCAACTAAAGCTGACACTATCAGAAACCATTAAAAACCAGTACGGTAACACTAGCTAACTCAATCAATCACCATGCAAGCATGTATTTATGAAACAAGGTTCATGAAATCAATAATTTGCTAGTAACCCAGCTAACAAAATTATGTTCCAAAACATGACCACAAAGTTATTTTAGTCCCTACATAAGTCATGATAACGTTATTGTGAAACGTGCCTTCTACGTAGCTGTGGTGTCCGCTGACAAAACTTATGTCCCAAGTATTTTCAGGACGTAGAAATGTGGGGGATTTTAAACAGCTATATAACGTTATAAGGGATGTCCTTGAGTCTTCCATGAACGTGCACACTGTTACGTACCTTATTGGTACTGTAGGTACCCACGGACGAAAGTTACCTTCCCAGTAGTTACCAGAAACTGCATTTTGTGGGGCTCTCAATGTACTTTGACGTTTAGCGACGTTATGGCGCGCATGCGCCCAGCCTGCCCCAGGAGTCGCTACAGCGCGATGGGACAAGGACATCCCGGCCGGCCAAACCCTCCCCTAACCCGGATGACGCTGGGCCAATTGTGCGTCACCTCATGGATCTCCCGGTCGCGGCTGGCTGCGACACAGACAGTTACCGGACCAGCATCTGTAGCAACGCAGCTTGCACTGCGATGCAGTGTCTTAGACCACTGCGCCACTCGGGAGGCCCCTTAAGACACGTCATTTAATTTACCCTGAACATATACACAGTATGCTGTCGGTAGGTGTCCACTGACGAAATATGCAAAACTCCAGAAAATAAGAAGTTATCTTCTTTTCTTTTTTTTTACTTAAACTGCATCATAATAGATTCGTAAACAAAATCACAGCAATAAGCTCACAAAATAACAAGTCAGTAAAAACATGAACACTGCACTCCAATCAAGAACTGTACAACTGCTTAAAGCTAAAAGTGAATAACTATGTTATGTTTATTCAGGTGCTGCTGCTCCATCCTCATCCACTGTCGCTTCCTCGACCCGCTCCTGTAGCTCAATTGGTAGAGCATGGTGCTTGTAACGCCAGAGTAGTGGGTTCGATCTCCGGGACCACCCATACGTAAAAATGTATGCACACATGACTATAAGTCGCTTTGGATAAAAGCGTCTGCTAAATGGCATATTATTATTATTTATTATTACATTAACACAAATTGGTCATTATTTTCCGTAAACAACTGATCAAAATGCCGGTTTATGTCGACTCCCTACTACATTCCTTTTGTACTAGCACAATAATTTAGCTATACTGACCGACTGGATTAAAGTGAAGTAAAAAATAATAATTATCATAAAGTGTTATTTTTAATCATACCTTTGTCTTACTCTTGAGCCGAGCTGGTGCATGTTTGAGAGCGTCTGCTATTTTGTCATCTACCTCTTGGTAGGTAGCCTTGGGGTGTGCTTTCAGGGATGCTCCTATGTGGTGAAAAAGAATTGAAATGGTACATTTCATGTCATATAACTACTTTTCCACCTATGCTGGCTGAGACAGAGATTGTGTATTGTCCCTCTCGTCCCTCATAGGCAGTTTTGGCCATGAGACCTCTCTCCTTCACCTTTCCTTTGTCCTCTCTCTCCGATCTTAACAGGTGGTAGGATTTCACATTTAGTTTGTAACTGCCTTGTTACTGATTTAATTCATTTGAAATGTTAATAAATACACATTTGACTTAGCATCACTTGACCAATAATACTATCTACTAAATAATAATAAATAACAATCTAAACTTGTGCATTTTCTTACTTGTGACAGCATCATAGATTGAGAGCTCATTAAAGGCCCTCTTCCTTTTCCTGCTCTTCTAGGAGTAGCCTGTCCACAGCTCCTCTCTTCCAATTTTTCTTATCATTCGTCTGATTCCTGAGCCCAGGTCCAGGCCACAGCAGAGGGTCAGGTATCAGATCTGATAATTTAAAAAAAGAAAAGAAATCCACTAATTTGTGTGTTCCACAGCTAAAACATCTGGCCATACAGTTCTGATTGATAGTAATGAGAAATCATTTTTGTAGTGTATCGTGTAATCATGGGCTAAAACTTGTGTAAACAGACAGAGGGCTGATTGTTTCTTCTTAAGATAAGTTAAGTGTTAATTGGGAAATCAATCCAAACACTAAATAGGCAACTGCATTTCGTTGACATTAACATATTTGGATTCAATAATATTGCAGGTTGCAATCTTCTCTCAAATCATTCAAGTAGCTCTTGATAAACAGCTAACTTATTTTTGTCAATTGCTGTTAAAATACTTGATGTAGATTTCATTTTTTTTACAAACAGATACATTTTAAATTGCCATCCCTACCATTTTCTTTCGATAGTAGGAGTCTTTAATTGTTTCACAGATATCCTTCAGTTCCTCATTTGTTTCTGCAGGGTTTTGCAGCATTTCAAGTTGCCACAAGGATTCCGACTCCTTTGGCTGCCGGGCCTCTATGGCCTCCATAACTTGGTTCAGAGCAGTCTTGAACTCTGTACAGATCATCTCCAGTTTCACCATTATCCTCATCTCCACTGCTTGAAGATCTGCAAAATAATAAATACTCAACAGTTTAGCTGCAAGCAGCGTGACGATACAAGCCATGAGTACCAGGCAGGACATGTTTTTATTTATTTCACCTTTATTTAACCAGGTAAGCCAGTTGAGAACAAGTTCTCATTTACAACTGCGACCTGGCCAAGATAAAGCAAAGCAGTGCGATAAAAACAACAACACAGAGTTACATATGGGGTAAAAAAACATAAAGTCAAAAAAATACAACAGAAAATATATATACAGTGTGTGCAAATGTAGCAAGTTATGGAGGTAAGGCAATAAATAGGCTATAGTGCAAAATAATTACAATTAGTATTAACACTGGAATGCTAGATGTGCAAGAGATTATGTGCAAATAGAGATACTGGGGTGCAAAATAACAAAATAAATAACAATATAGGGATGAGGTAGTTGGGTGGGCTAATTTCAGATGGGCTGTGTACATGTGCAGTGATCGGTAAGGTGCTCTGACAACTGATGCTTAAAGATATTATCATGTATCAAGGCCATGTGAAATACCTAAATCAAAAATATCCACCCTTCATATATATTCGTAGTATTGATAACCATATAGCTGCTGACAGCCATACAATTTGGAATTGATGTTGATATAGGCTAGCATAATATACCTTTAATGTATCCAGCGGGCATCTCAGAAGCCACAGGCTCATCAAACAGGGAAGGCAGATCTTGGTCTAAAATATAAGTTAAAAATCATGCTGTTATTTAAACTTTCTACATTTATGATTTCGAGATAAATATCTTGATGGCTAAAGAAACCTGATTCTGATGCTCTGTCTTGGCCAGCTTCTTCCTGGCAGCAACTTCGACTAACTGAGAAAACAGAAGTAAAAAAAAATCAAGACATACTTTGCATGCTTTTGAAACTGGCACAGAACCAAAAGTGAAGGGATGTCAGTCAGGAGCTCTGTGGGAAGGTTAATGAATCCCAACAAAAATAAATACTAAGCATAATTTTTTTGTTTTAAATAATGCTTTTAGTTTGATGGCAAATACATACAGATATTTACAAACATGGCATCACACTTGTGTTTTACCCCAGAAGAATATGGTGATTTCACTACTGTTGTAAGTACAAGTTTCACCCATACACAGCACCACAAGTATTTGGAAAGTTCGAACAGTATGCACAAAGTAGTAATAAGACTTTAAATAACCTAATATGCAAAAATGTGATGGTAATTGTATTCTGTTGAGTGGCTTTGAAAGGTTTGTAAAGCTATAATACTTCATACAATTCAATTATTTACCCTAACAAACTACAACCAGACACTTAATGTCACTCTGGCTTGAGGTGGCACATGGCCTCAAGTCCTCTGCATCTGCAACTTCAGAGAATATCACAAATGTCAAACCGTTACCACATTTACAGTACACACTTAACAGATTTTCCTGTCCATCCCATACAGTTGGTGGGCACAGAACTTTGAGAAAGCAGGCTCGTTTATCAGACTTGAAACATTATATACCTTGTAGGGTCTTTTCAAAGACACTGGCTCTTGAAGTTGCTAATAAAAAAATAAAAGCAACTGTTACACTTTGGTAATGTGACAATTAATCAAGTATGTCAACATCAGATGGGTGTGGTAATTTATTGTCATATCAACTGTCATTAGGTTATGATTTCATGCCGTCTCTACAATTTAAGACTAGTACTTGCATTAACTGTAAGCTTTTCATCACCCACATACAGTGGGGAAAAAAAGTATTTAGTCAGCCACCAATTGTGCAAGTTCTCCCACTTAAAAAGATGAGAGAGGCCTGTAATTTTCATCATAGGTACACGTCAACTATGAAAGACAAAATGAGGAAAAAAAATCCAGAAAATCACATTGTAGGATTTATAATGAATTTATTTGCAAATTATGGTGGAAAATAAGTATTTGGTCAATAACAAAAGTTTCTCAATACTTTGTTATATACCCTTTGTTGGCAATGACACAGGTCAAACGTTTTCTGTAAGTCTTCACAAGGTTTTCACACATTGTTGCTGGTATTTTGGCCCATTCCTCCATGCAGAACTCCTCTAGAGCAGTGATGTTTTGGGGCTGTCGCTGGGCAACACAGACTTTCAACTCCCTCCAAAGATTTTCTATGGGGTTGAGATCTGGAGACTGGCTAGGCCACTCCAGGACCTTGAAATGCTTCTTACGAAGCCACTCCTTCGTTGCCCGGGCGGTGTGTTTGGGATCATTGTCATGCTGAAAGACCCAGCCACGTTTCATCTTCAATGCCCTTGCTGATGGAAGGAGATTTTCACTCAAAATCTCACAATACATGGCCCCATTCATTCTTTCCTTTACACGGATCAGTCGTCCTGGTCCCTTTGCAGAAAAACAGCCCCAAAGCATGATGTTTCCACCCCCATGCTTCACAGTAGGTATGGTGTTCTTTGGATGCAACTCAGCATTCTTTGTCCTCCAAACACGACGATTTGAGTTTTTACCAAAAAGTTCTATTTTGGTTTCATCTGACCATATGACATTCTCCCAATCCTCTTCTGGATCATCCAAATGCACTCTAGCAAACTTCAGACGGGCCTGGACATGTACTGGCTTAAGCAGGGGGACACGTCTGGCACTGCAGGATTTGAGTCCCTGGCGGCGTAGTGTGTTACTGATGGTAGGCTTTGTTACTTTGGTCCCAGCTCTCTGCAGGTCATTCACTAGGTCCCCCCGTTTGGTTCTGGGATTTTTGCTCACCGTTCTTGTGATCATTTTGAACCCACGGGGTGAGATCTTGCGTGGAGTCCCAGATCGAGGGAGATTATCAGTGGTCTTGTATGTCTTCCATTTCCTAATAATTGCTCCCACAGTTGATTTCTTCAAACCAAGCTGCTTACCTATTGAAGATTCAGTCTTCCCAGCCTGGTGCAAGTCTACAATTTTGTTTCTGGTGTCCTTTGACAGCTCTTTGGTCTTGGCCATAGTGGAGTTTGGAGTGTGACTCTTTGAGGTTGTGGACAGGTGTCTTTTATACTGATAACATGTTCAATCAGGTGCCATTAATACAGGTAACGAGTGGGGGACAGAGGAGCCTCTTAAAGAAGAAGTTACAGGTCTGTGAGAGCCAGAAATTTTGCTTGTTTGTAGGTGACCAAATACTTATTTTCCACCATAATTTGCAAATAAATTCATAAAAACTCCTACAATATGATTTTCTGGAAAGAAAATTCTCAATTTGTCTGTCATAGTTGACGTGTACCTATAATGAAAATTACAGGCCTCTCTCATCTTTTTAAGTGGGAGAACTTGCACAATTGGTGGCTGACTAAATACTTTTTTTCCCCACTGTACTTGAATGTGTGTCAAACTTACCATCAACTTGCTGATTTTACATTTAATGACCTAGTAGCCTAATGCAGGATCTTACCACTAGGGGCTGGTGGAAGCTGGGGCACTGTAAGCTGGGCTTGTTTGGGTTCATTTGTCTTTTTCTGGAGTGCTTCACTTCCCTCATCATCTTATGAAGAACAATACAAAAAAATAGTCATTTATTTCATCTACTTCCTGATGCATGTAATACACACAATGGAATAAGAGTAGCTAAGAAATCCTCACCAGGTGGCTCTACACGGAATCTGATTGGTTTAGTCACCGCCCTCTTCGCTGGTTCCTCGTCAGATTCAACATTGGAGGTGTCAACCCCCCGTTTGGCTCGTTGCTCTGGCACAGAGTAATTGTCTGTACGTGCAATAAACATAGTCATATATACATTCCTATTAACACTGGCAAAACAGGGTATTGAGTATTTGTAATTTACATAGTAATACGTTCAGCAAATACATATAGTACTTAAGAGGGGGAAGTTACTTACTCTACTGACCAGGAGTGGGTTGCACCAGTTAGACGCTAATAAGGTGTAAGAGATAAGTTGGGCCTACTTACGCCCGACATAATGATTTAGAAAATGTAACAAGATGCGACATGACTAGTCATGAAACACTTACCTTGGAAACTAGTTATAGATTTATAAGTCTACCCCACATTACACTTTGTTTTTACACCCTGGCGTAGCAAAAGCTATTACTTACAACCAGGTGGTGACACAGGTTAACGCCTGGCTTAGAACATATTCTACGTTGTAACTAGCCTTACGTATATGAGTATGTTCAACTGATGCAACTTTGCTCCATAGCCACACAACCAAGCATACATTGCATACATTATGGGGAGTGGGTGGATAAAGTAAAATATTATTTTACCAGTGGGTGAAAATATGGAAATTCTGTACTTCTCCCCATAATATTTTGTCAGGCCGGTCTCCTCTCTTAATAATTGTTGCGCTGTCATTTATTGGCCAGTAGCAACACAGGACCTGCAAGACATGAGACACTGTTTAAAGTTAACTATTTATCCATCTCTTTGCCTGAAAAGGGTAAATAATTTAACTGATCAACTCACCCCATCTCTCTTCTCCACCCACTGCTCTGGTACAACATCAACAGTGTTCTCTTTTACAAAATGTACAACATAATAACGCTGTGTGCCCTGTGCAGAAAAACAAAACACCAATTCCACACTGTTCAGTCTCTTGATTTACCAGCAAAAATAGTTTGGAAAACTACTACAGCCTGTGAACTTGTCTGTAGCTAAATGGGGCTTGCTACAGGCTGTGCAAGATGGTAAGCACAACATCAGTGCCATGGTCCTCCTCAAGTATAATAGCTTGCTTAACAAGACTGCTCTTTGCAATGAGACGCATTTGTGCGCTCCTCGTAGTGGTACGGAAAGTCCAATACAGTCTTGAGTCACAAGGATTCAGCGTGTAAGATTCCAGATGCTGAAACACCCTGCAGAGGTAAGTATCAGAGGCATCTTCTTGGCTCACTACCTCACAGCATGACCTATCATTAAGTATGTAGGCATTGTTTGGCCGTCTCATTTTGATGACCTGTTAGCGGGGAGAAGCTCTAACGGTGCGTTCTTGCACTCTTTTACGTCTCCCTGAACGGACCATCTTCTTTAGTTGTTGCAAGTAGTTCTCAAACTTGAAAGCACTACAGTTGTCAAGGCAGCCATGTTCTTCAGCATCAGCAGTGAGGTGTAGGAGGGCGTGAACATTATATACGAGAAATGTGTCTCCATTCAGGTCCCGTGTAGCTCAGTTGGTAGAGCATGGCGTTTGCAACGCCAGGGTTGTGGGTTTGATTCCCATGGGGGGCCAGTATGAAAAAAAAATGTATGCACTAACTGTAAGTCGCTCTGGATAAGAGCGGCTGCTAAATATGTAAAATGTAATTATTAAAATGTATTCAAAACCCTTCCCTGCTCCTCAAAGAAGTTCAGTAAAGGGTGCGCATAGGCACTGTGGATTGAAGAAAGTTGAGGAGAAACCAGAATGCACATGGCAACACTGAAGGCCATGAAGTGTGTGTACTGTTCTTTAGACAAGATTCTTCTCAGCACTACTTTCCCAGTATAGAGTAGAAACTGTCTGAATTCTGTGGCCTTCCAACGGTCAAGGTCATCCAATCCCTGTGGTTTGCAAGCAAAGCAGTCTGGAATTGAATCCTTTAGTCGGTTTAGTCATTGACTGACCTCCTTGACTTGCACCAATGATAACCTGGCCCCAGTCTTTCCCCTAGTCCACATCATCAAGAGCTTCCGGGTTACTCCGAGGCAACAAAGGTGCATATAGTCAATTGGGAATGACTTCTCCATATCAATGGGGAGGATGCAAAAAGGAGAGATTTTCCCTTCATGGTGATGTTCTGGCTTTACCAATTCCCTAAAGGATTTGTCAGTTCTGAGACACAGGGTTTTTACCTGCGGGTACGTCATCCTTCCATCATACCTGCCTTTTTGTGTGCACCTGTCACAGCCATAGTAGCCAGAATACATCTTTAAGCATTTTACCATGGCTTTTGCAGGTGCATCACATTTTACAGAACAAACTTTCACTTGCAGTGTTGTGTCTCCCCACTTCAAGCCGGTCTGCATCAACACTTTAAGCTCCAGCAATGTGTCATTGAGGAATTCCAGGGAGCTTGGTTTCGATGATGACATTGCAAGTGACAGAGGAAACACTGTGGGTGGTGATAGATTGATGGAGCCATAACGACATATTGGTACTTTTGAACAAATGGAGACCATCCAGATTAAGGGATATTTCAAAAAAATTCAAATCTCCAACCACAGATCGAGGATAGATGCTTAGATGTTTCACTAACTCCACCTTCACTTTAAATCTGACAAACTCTACATTAGACTTGACTTCAACAAAAACATTGGTCTTTTCTAGGAGAGTTCTAGCAGTGGAAGGCAAATCTGGGTGACAATTAGACTGCAGCATCTTCAGAAGTAGTCTGAACCTGTAGCTCAGTTGGTAGAGCATGGCGCTTGCAACGGCAGGGTTGTGGGTTCGTTTCCCATGGGGGGGCAGTATGAAAATGTATGCACTCAGTAACTGTAAGTTGCTCTGGATAAGAGCGTCTGCTAAATGACTAAAATGTAAATGTAAGTGCATCAACAGCATTGTGTTTCACTTGGAAATCACTTATCCAGGTTGCCATGTCCTCTCTGAAGGTAGAATATTTTTCAACATCATCATTGTCAGAGTCAGTTGTCTCCTGAATTGCACAACCAGCATTGGCTTTAGTCTCTGAATCTATGTCACTGTGTGATGGCAGTCTTGGAGGAGTACCACCTACTGCCTCAAGCTCACCATCTGACTCTTCATCAGCGGGTGTTGGAAGTCTTGGAGGAGTACCTTCCACTGCCTCAACTTCACTATCTGACTCAATTTTGCTCTCAGATTCAGTAGAATCATGTCAGACTGGCTGATGAGACTAGATCCACTTTCATTGTCATTGTCTTCCTTCTCTATCCTTTTTTTCTTAAGGTTTCTCCCTTGACATTTTAGTCCAGATTCTATTGTGTTCTCTCTTTCTTGAAGTACTTGACATCTGTGTTACACCAGCGGATTTAACGGTCTGCAAATGATTAAACAATGATATGACAATGGCTCTACATATACAGTACAAAATAAAATAGGACTGCCTTACTTGTCCATTTAAAATGAATAACCAGTTAGACACACATAAGTTTACCTTTTTTGAAGACATTTTCAATCTTCAGAACACTAAGTAAAGAAACGTAAAGAACATTAATCTCTACTACCCAAGACGTTATCCATAATATCCATCTTGAATCAGAACTTAAATTAGGAAAGAGGTGACTACAGCTTCTCAGGCTATCGTGACACTGCAAGGCGTTTGAATAATGTTTGTGTTATAGAACGGATAAATTGCACTCTTCATTATCTGGATTGTGCACATTTAGACAGCCCTTTAGTAAAAATGTATGTATCAAGCCATTTCCTGCATTATATTTTTTTACGTGCTTATGCTGGTAATAGCCCAAGAACACTTGTCAATGTTGTTCTTCATCAGGACCTAAGAATACGATTACTGAACCCTGTAACACAGGCTGTGCTTACACGCAGCACTATCCAAGTAACATAGCTAGGCTAAAATATATATTAGCCAACTGGCTAATTAGCTAACTGGAAGCTTCCTCGCTAGTCAGATAGCCTGACATCATCAAAATGTATTTATCTGGGGAGCTGGGAGTACACTAACTTACTTGGATTAAATAGTACACACCGGATAACCTTTCGTAGAAACCTCCAAGAGGTGAACTGTGTTCGGTCAGTCGGAGTCGATGGCGTCTTCGCTGTTCAGCTGTGTTGTTTCACTTTTACCAATTAGTTTCGTAGGTGTTTCATTCTGGCTCCAGCCTCAGTATTGTTATTTGCCACACCCACTTTTATATTTGCAATGACGGATAATGGAGTCAAAAGGAATATTCAGGATGAACGATCGTCAGGCCACCACTACTGCTAGCTGCTTTATAATGATTTAAAAAATATATTATTATTCATAAATTAATATAACACAACATTATTATTTTTTGGTATCGTTCCCTCGTCCATAGGCCTAAACTGAGGTCAAAATTACATTATGAATTTCCATACATTTATTAAATCGGTAGAATTATGGAAAAATAAATTGTGGAGGGGAAGAGCTGGATATACTTCCTTTACTCCAAGCACAAGTATGCTGGCCCCAATATATTGGGATCTAAAGTACTTATTTAGAACATAACAAATGTTCCTACACACTTAGAAAGACAACGTTACAAGTGTACCACCACTTGACTTACAGACAACGTTCCAAAATGTATTTCTATCATTCCGATTGTAATGTTTCCCATGATGTCTGCATAGCGACTGGATATTTATAACCTCTATAATACTTATTAGAAACGTTATGAATTTGCCTATAATGTCCAGACATGACATTCAGTACCTCTGGAAGACTTAAGGGGAATGTTACAAATGCCTCTGTTCCTTGTTAGGTAGAAACAAATGACATTCATATTCTGACAATCTCTGAAACTCACTTAGATAATACCTTTGATGATAGAGTGGTAGCAATACATGGTTATAAGATCTACAGAAAATACAAAAATGCAAAAAGTGGAGGTGTGGCTGTTTATATTTAGAACCCCATACCTGTAAAGCGGAGGAGAGGATCTCATGTTAAATACTGTTGAAGTAATATGGCTACAGGTTCATCTTCCTCACCTAAAGCCCATTCTGGTGGGAAGTTGCTATAGACCACCAAGTGTTAACAGTCAGTATCTGGATAATGTGTGGAATGCTTGATAATGTATGCGATATCATTAGAGAAGTATATTTTCTAGGTGATTTAAATAGTGACTGGCTTTCATTATGCTGCCCACTCAAGAGAAAGCTTAAAACTTTAAATAGTGCCTGAAACCTTGTTCAGGTTATCAGTCAACCTACCATGGTAGTTACAAACAGCACAGGAATGCCATCATCAACATGTTACCAACATATAGCCTCTCCAACATAATCCAGGTAGAATCAGGAATTCCCCAGGGCAGCTGTCTAGGCCCCTTAGTTTTTTTCAATCTTTACTAACGACATGCCACTGGCTTTGAGTAAAGCCAGTGTGTCTATGTGTGCAGATGTCTCAACACTATACACATCAGCTGCTGCAGTGCCTGACATGACTGCAACACTTAACAAAGAGCTACAGTTTGTTTCAGAATGGTTGGCAAGGAATAAATTAGTCCTAAATATTTCCAAAAAAAATGTGGGACATATCATTCACTAAATCCTAAACCTCAACAAAATATTGTAATCAATAATGTGGAAATTGAGCAGGTTGAGGTGACTAAACTGCTTGGAGTAACCCAGGATTGTAAACTGTCATGGTCAAAACATATTGATACAACAGTAGCTAAGACGGGGAGAAGTCTGT